GTGGGGATCCCTGATAGCTACTAAGCAGAGTTCAGACAGGCAGGGACTATAAGTAAAGGTAATGCAATGATGGGATGGTCCTACCTTTGGAAGGTGCTAAGGATGGAGTGAATAAAACTGGGGAGAAAATAGTCTGAAATTTGAGGAGTAATGATATATTGGAGGGTTGCAGAGTGAGGAAGTGACAGTGAAGAGCAGGGATGAGGAAATTAATGGGCTTGCAAAGGATGAGAATGTTAAAATCAAGGCATTGTTTAACTACAAACCATTATAGTACAGTAATGGTATATGAAGGATGTTTAATGCAAATTAAGAAATAGCTGAGAGAGATTTGGATGACTTCATGTTTAGGGACGGTATGATGTGGGAGGCTGAATAGTCACACCTGGAGTTAACAAAGGCATAGATGAGGGTTTCAGCAGCAGATGAGCTGTGGTGCGGCTGATATCAGATGACGTTATGGAAGTGGAAATTAGTGGTGTTAGTGATGGGCATAGATATGTGGTCAAAAATCTCATCTCAATGTTGCATTGTGACACAAGTTAAAAACTGACTGACTAAGCCTCAGGCAGTTGCAAAGGAGAAGAATGGTAATGCATCTCTTTGACTCATTTGTTAAGAATTATTTGAAGCACTAACAAGTAAAATGGATAAAGGAGAACTGGTGGATGTAACATTCTTAGGTTTCCATTTATAATTGGACAAGCTACCACTGCAAAGATTACTATACAAAACAAGAGATCATAGCGTAGAGGGGAATGCCGAGGTGAGAAAATCCGTGAGATTTTTCAAAGTGACCTGCAATTGAGGTCCTTATGTTGTCAATTAATGTGGGAATTGAATCATGAAACCAGCAAGTTCTGTGATTCTAATCTGTGCTGCAAGTTGGTCTCAGAATCCCTGGGTCTGAAGAAGGGTTTCACTATCCAGTTGCCAACCACTCACCTCCGTCTGAAAGCATATCTTTTTGTATGTTGTACGAGGACAGAATTGAAGTTGATTACTGGTCCTTCAGTGATCCAGTATTCTGCCAACTTTTGCCGACCTGGATTGGCACAGTGTGTGGCCAGTTGGCTGTAGGCTTCTTAAGGTCTACCAGTAGACAAAGTTATGTAGGGCTAAGCACCCAATGAGTCAGCTGCATAAGGGAGAACAAGAAAAATAGCACAATGCTGCATATTTAGTAATTTGGATGATGATTAAGTAGCAGGTTTCTACAGAAACTAGTAATTCCTTCCCTAAACTTATTTCTCCCACTCTTGAAATCCTCCTTAAAACCACCGTGTGACCAAGCATTTAGTCCCCTCTCCCCAAGATCTCCTTTCTTACTCACCTTCCACTTTCTCTAATCGCTCTTCTTTAAAGTGCCATGGGATGTTATTCTTTGTTAAAGACATAATTTAAATTGAAATTGTTACATAGAGAAGTTTGACAATAACAGATGACTCTACATAATGTTTTTGATGGATGCTTGTTTCATAATTTTCATCATTGAAATGCTTTCAGTTAATAGAATTAAGTGTTCCCATTCTGAATACCACACTAGTCATAATGTTTCTGTTTCAGTATCTCATTGAGTATATTTCTTGCTGTGTCAAGAGCATTTTAAAAGCAAATTAATTTTATAGGTTAGATTTCCTTGCCGTCCCAATTTCATCTAAGTGCAATGGATTAATTCTGATAACTCAAAAGAAACCTCATTGTTAGTTTTTGCAATATGGTGCAATATGTTGATTCACCATTATCAAAGCACAAGTTTATATACATCCAAGCACACTGTTTTCAGTCCTATACCGAAGAATGTGAAACACTGGGCTGTTTTTGTGTACAGGGAAATTTTTCTTTTTGCATCGTTAAATTCTAAACTAAAATTATTTCTTAAAATAAAATTAATTACTTTATATGGTCAATTAGAGGCATAAAATTCCACTTTGTTGAACAAGTATGGGTTACTGCTTTTACATATAAATATAACCTGTATATCGGAGTGTGTTTGCATATGTAGCACATCTGAATGTGTATTTAATATATCATGTATATTATGCAATTTGTATTTTTTATGGGATATGGGTACCGATGGCAAGACCAGCATTTGCGGCCCATCCCTAATTGCCCTTGAACTGAGTGGCTTGCTCAGCCATTGCAGGGACTTTTAAGAGTCACTCACATTGCTGTGGGTCTGGAGTCACATGTAGGGACCAAGTAAGGACGACAAATTCTCTTCCCTTAACTGACATCAATGAATCAGATGAGTTTTTATAACAATCGGTGATAATTTTGTAGTCAGTTATTGAGATTACCTTTTTGAATTCCAGATACTTTTTATTAATTGATATTAAATAATTAAATTAATTAGTTGTATATTCTAATTCCACTGGTTGGCACCACAGAGGGATAAACAAAATGGGGAAAAACACTGTTAAAGTCTTATTTTTCAAATTCTACGCTGCATGAATGGTCCTGTAAAACTGAAAGATAATTTTAAAATTTTCAAGCTGTAACATATTCACATTAAGAACTTTCACTCCTACATTACCATACCCCATACAGTGACTGAAACATGTTCTTACCTAATATCTAGTGACAAGAATAAGATACCAGGTACTGATTTCACGTGCCAATAACAATGGGTTCCATATTAGCATTTGCTTTCATTCTCTGCCAAAAGACTACCTGGGGTTTAAACACCCACATCAGCTCATTTGCTGTCGCTACAGTGGCATATGGAAACCAGAAACTGAAATTTATGTTTTTAATTTTCAGAGCAGCAGGAACATGAGAGCTACTTGTGTGATTTTCAATTTTAGCCTGCTGTTTCCCAAATCTGATGGATGAGTTTTGAGTGCATTTGATTACTTTAAGTACATGTTAATGTGGGCTCTTATAGAGCTTGACTGAATTAGCTAACTAATTTTGAGCACTACTGTCTGAAGTGTAGAGGAGGGGTTGAATTGTACAGTTAAACACTGGCTCTATCACCTTCCTCATCTGTGCCTGTAGTTAATAAAAAAAAAACTAGGAGAAAATGGAAATAAGGCTGCAAATAAATTCACTGTGTAACTGTCAATTTGAGTGTGACCTAAGCTGGGGCTGTGTTGAAATTTGTAATTATTCACTGAAGCGCTGTAACCTTTTTCATCAGCAGATTATGTGTGGGATTATGATTACATTTTTGTTTGCAACAAAAGGTTGCCATACAATTAAAGAGAATTGCAAATAACTTCAAACTTCATTCTTCTATTGTATGAATCGTGAAAAACTACATATATTGTAGTAAAGTGCAGTAACTGGGACTGAAATTAGCAAAATGTCCAATGCAGGAGCAATGACTGGGAATACAGTCAATGTTACCCCTTCAGTAGGAGCTTTTTTTATACCCAGGCTGTTGGTGTGCTGCTGATCGAGATTTACGCCTTCAACTTTGGCAGGGTTATTAGCCAAAACAAAGTGGTCACTTTGATTTTGCATGTGGTATTGGTTACACAGCTCCTCGTTTGAGAATGGGAGCTAAAATATAGGTCCCAGCCAGGCAGTAAGTACCCTGTGAACACAGTCTGGTTGGAACTCAAAGTATCCTGCCCCAGAGTATTCTATGTATGCTTGGTTGCACTTCAGTGCAAAGCAGGAAATATTTAGGGAGGGCACTGAGGAGGAGGAAGGGAGTGCACATGTAGGGAGAATATCCAGTGGAACTGTGAACGTTTTGTAGACCACATTTGACGCGCGTTTTGCAAGCGCTTTGATTGGGGAGTTCTTCAGTGACGTAAGCGCATGGTAAGTCAGATGAGACACCATCTGGTCAGTGCAAGCACTGTAATAGAATTATATAGCACATAAACAGACCCTTCAGTATAACAGAGACAACAAGGTGCAGGGCTGGATGAACACAGCAGGCCAAGCAGCATCATAGGAGCAGAG